TTGAAAAATTTTTCAATAATGTGCCTTAGTTATGTTAGGTAATTCGAAGAAAAAATAGTGTTACTGTTTCTTATTTGTAGAAGATTTAAGAGGAAAGACCACAACATAATGAACTAATTCATCACAATACCTGAAAACTCTGACTTTACTTTTTTGAAAAATGAAATGGTCTTTACTTTTACTCCCGATCAACAATCAAATATATTTTCTTGAATTATGAATAACATGAATGGATTGAAATATTTAATTAAATTATCTCAAAATAAACCTTCATTTCGGTGCAATATTGAAATTAGCTTGAATTATTCACAACCTCTGAATAGTGGGTGACCCTACGGGTCACGGGTGGTCTAGTATTATATATAGATAGAGGACTTATGATCCATCTAGCTACGATTAAAACTGATGCTGTGTGTGATTGTGTAGTTATGCAAATGAATAGAATAGTAAGAATTTGTGAACATACTGGTTCCAACCCTGAAGAATGGAGGAGACAGAAGGTATTTCCTGATTAATTGTGTATAGATATAAAAGACTGAACTTTTTTATGTTGTTGTGATATATATATGTGTAAGACTGTGAAGTTTATAAAATATCCAAACAAAGACTGTTCACTATAATGTGATATATGTAAAAAAAGTGAAATTATCAGTTTTCTACGAAAGACTAAAGAAGAAAGTGGTGATACGTTGGAATTTTGGAGCCTGGGATAACATCAAGATTAGAAAGAAACACATCTGAGATTGAATGCAATCAATGATGTTTAGTATATTCAGGAAAAGGGGAAATGTGTTATGGGGTTTGGTGTAAGGTGGCATCAGTTAAGTTGAGAAAATAAGAGAAAGCAGCTGGCCTTTGGTCATTTTCTATGGAATTACGGGATTAAAGTACATTACAAAATAATTGGAGGGAGTGGGTATAGTGGCCATCTTTCTCATTTTAGCCGGTATGGAGACTATAAGACCCTCTGTGGTTATGAAACGTTATAATTCGACATACAAGAAACGTGCAAGGTGAGAAAGAAAAGGGCTGGTTCCACCTGTGTTTGAGAAAGAGACATAAATGACAGGAGTTCAACAAAAAGAATAAATAGGGATGACCAGGGGATGTGAGAGAGAACGAATAAACTGGGAGAGGTGAAGGAAGAAAGTAACATGCTGCCAGTAAGAAGCAAACCTATTTCCAAATCTGTGTTATTGACTACCAAGAATAAACAGCCGTTTGTTATTTTTACAGTGGTATAAATCAATTCCTGATAACAATATGCACAACCTAAATAAAATTGATGAACATAAGAAGGGGAAGTGAAATGCGAATACAGCATTGATCATAACAGTGGGTGATGTTGACTATAGCTGACTTCACTCTATTCCATCCTTCCTCACTCCCACCTGCTAATACAATTGCTGACCTCATTGAAAAAAAAAATACTGATTAGACTCAATTCTAATACACTTAGTGCTGTCAGTGGTATTCCTGACTAGAAGTTTGTGTTTTGAAGAAAAAAATCTGCTCATTACCAAACTTTAAGTGAAGAACATATTGGGATTTGGTAGGAGACTCCTCATAGACTGCAGAGGGGATAGGCACTTCTATGTATGAAGTAGAATTCAGGTAGCAGCAAAATGTTATATATAGGAGTCATATGATATACAATTAGATTATGTATTCTTTTGTGACTCATGAGCGATTTAATTAGTACTTTCGACTTAAAAAAGCTCGAAATATTATTCTGCTATGTGGTGTACTATTTTTTCTAATTTTCATACCTGTGGTTTCGTAACGAGCACTAAGAATTATTGCACGATTATAAAATCCTCCTCTTTATAAGGATTTTTCTGGAATAGAAATTATAGTCATTAAAATACATTTGATTTCCTTGTTTAAAGCAGAATCTTTCCTAGAAGCGTGTTTAATAAAAGTAAAAAACAAAAATGCTCGTTTGTTTGCTATTAAGCTGTATAGTCGAAAAACGATTTTTGCATTATAAAGCCCTTGAGCCACTAGAGGGGGGAATGAATAAATAAAAAAAGTGGAGTGAATGTGAAAAGGTAAAATTGACTGAAGGCAAGTTTAATAAATATTTTATGTATGTTATCTGTACTTGAAAGAACTAGTAACAAAGAAAAGGACTTGGATTTGAGTTAGATATTTTTCGTCTTTAATTCAAACGTTGGTTACTTAATTTATACTTGAAAATAACCCTTTATTAAGTAAAATTTGATATTCAAATATTCTTAAGTTTTAAGTGTGATATTTATTAATTAGGTCTCGTAAAAGTCACCGAACATGTTAGCCCTTTCAGCCGAAGGGCATTAAAATGTAACGGTAAATCTTACTATTCATTTGTAAAAAGAGTTGGCGATGGGTGATGTTGGCTAGCTGCCTTCGCTATAGTCTATCACTGCGAATTTCAAACCAAACCAAACTTGTACAAGTCTTCTGGTATGTCAACGGTAGGTTTACAGATTTACGACGCTAAAATCTGTGGTTTGATTCCCTATGGTGGACAGTGCACAGATAATCCATTGTATAGCTTTGTCCTAAAAATCAATAATAAAAACAATGTATCATAAATAATACTATATTTTTTCCGCATGAGAAAAATAATTTTTACCAAATTAGACTTGATAACTTTTTAATTTTTTCTTCCTCTGGAAATTGTAGTGTTAATAACAGCAAGAAATAAAATAAAATAATAGTGATGTATGGTCTGTTTGTGCCACAAAAAATTAATTATTAATATTTTTTTATAAGTTTGATATTGTCGAGTTCACGTTGTTTTCGGCCCGGCATGGCCAGGTGGTTAGGGCGCTCGACTCGCAATCTGCGGGTCGCGGGTTCGAATTCCCGTTACACCAAACATGCTCGCCCTTTCAGCGTGGGGGCATTATAATGTGACGGTCAATCCCACTATTCGTTGGTAGCCCAAGAGTTGGCGGTGGGTGGTGATGACTAGCTGCCTTCCCTCTAGTCTTACACTGCTAAATTAGGGACGACTAGCGTAGATAGCCCTCATGCAGCTTTGCGCGAAATTCAAAACAAACAATTACATTGTTTTAGATTTCAGGAGTAAGTAAAATGTTATTTCACAAGATTCTGTCAAACATAATATAATGAGCATAGTTATTAACACTAGTGTTAAACAAGGGCTAGAAATACACCCATTTTTAACTAGTGTTATTGCAGACCTTCGTTACTTAAGGTGATTACTTTTATAACGCTGCGCCTATGGGAATGACTGGAGGATGAAGAAGGAGTTGTATTATACTAAATATTGTTAATATTGGCTTATATGCAGTTATTAGGAAAATTTGCATTTTTTTTAGTATAAGCACCTTTGTGACCAAATACAGTGGGATCGTAGCTAGATAAATACGTTGCATTATGTCCGTATTTGTATTGTTCAAAATGAGGGAACATGATCGAGTGGCTAGTGCTTTGGACTTGTAATTGGAAGGTTACGAGTTCGATGCTTGCTCGTTTAATGTTTTTTTGTCCTTGATCAAATCACATTATCCCAAGAGCTTCAGTCTATTCAGCTGTCTAATTGCAACTAATGGGGTGCTGAGGGTTAGCCTGCAATGGACTGGCATTCCATTACCATTCTCACTCTCTTATGCCATTGAACAGCAAGTTTAGTGCCGACTCTTGTGA